GTCAGCTTCAGACCGACGCGGAGAGCTTATTTGTTTACGTAAATAAATTACAAAGTTGTGATGATGCTATGGAGAGGTTGGGATTTTTGGCTGACTTGAATTCAAGCAGTACCTTGGATAAGATTCTGAGTAAACTGCCAAGATACATGTCGGTAGAATGAGTGAAAGAGAGCTGATGGGATTTATCAGTCTGACAGAGAACCAGATTTTCGAGATTTTTGTGAATTCATTGGTGCCAAGGCTCGTTTACATCGCAACAGGTAGATTTATTTGTTAGGTGAGAGAAAAAACTCCGACAGACTCTAAACCCAAGGAGGGATATTCTCGTGGAAAAAACGTTTGCGGTAGTGACCCAAAAGTTACGTTGCCCACGCTGCAACCTTGTGCACGCTTTAGAACAGTGCTTACGGTTTCAGAAATTAAGTGTAAAAGAAAGATAGAAATTGTTATCTGATAAAAAATTATGCTTCGTCTGTTTGAATTCTAAACATCGGGCCTCACCCTGCTCTCTTCGGATCCGTCGTTCCGAGAACTGTGATAAGCCACATCATAGGCTTCTGCACTCAAACCCGGATAAATTGCCCGTCACAAATACCTACTGTCAGAGGCTACCTGTCGCGGGTGGTGTAAGCCTAGGTGTGATACCAGTTTTGGTGGAAGGACCAAAGGGTTCAGTGATCGTTAATGCATTGTTAGACAGCTGAGCTGACACCTCTCTCGTTCGAGAAGATCTGTTGCAGTTGTTAGGACTTCAGGGAACTACAGCTAAGATAAGTTTGAATACTCCGATTGGCGAAGCACACCATTGGTGCACGCATGTCTCGTTACGCCTAAGATCTGTAGATGGAAATGAATTTGTAGACGTAGCCAGGGCTCATAAAGTGCCTTCTATACTTAATGTGGAAGCCACTCGATCTACCCAGGAAACATTGACCAATTGGTCTCATCTAAAAGATATGAAATTATCTCTGTTACCCAGTAAAACTTTGAGCATACTTATTGGTTTGGACACTCCTGAGGCTCACTGGGTTTTGGAACAGAGAAGAGGAGTTCAAGGTAATCCGTATGCAGATCGAAATCCCTTGGGTTGGGTGTTACGCTGCCCTTTGGATAACCACCACAGATGTAAAGGTGGACTGCATGCTAGTTGCATTGCGTTACATGAGCTGGAGGAATATTTACGAAGGCTTTATGATGATGATTTCATAGATAATAGTTCATTCGACACGAAATCCTCTGTAGAAGAAGAAAAAGCTATTGATATGCTGTAAAAATGTTTGGAAATTAAGGAAGGACATTTGTGTGTTGGGTTACCTTGGAACAACAGGTCTCTTAAGGGGAAGTGTAATCGAATTAGTGCCGTTAACCGCCTAATGGCCTTACAAAGGCGATTTCTTCGCCACACTCTTTTCCGAGAAAGATATTCAGCTGTAATATCTTGGTATATCCAAAAGGGTTACGCAAAACCTGTGTTAGAAAGTTCAAGCCCGGATGAATTATTTTGGTATCTTCCGCATCACGCGGTTTTAAATCCGAAAAAGCCGGATAAGGTTCGGGTCGTCGACTGTGCGGCGAAGTTTAATGGTGAGTCGTTAAATGATCATTTCTTACCTGGTCCTAATCTGGTGTCCAGTTGGGTTGGCATCTTGATACGGTTCAGAGAAGGAACTATAGTCTTGTCAGCGGATATCGAGGATATGTTTCTGCAGGTGCGGGTAACAGAAAAGGATCAGGGTGCACTTCGCTTATTATGGTACCCCGATGGTGAAATAAGGGGAGATCCAGAGGAAATTAGACCCACCGTACATCCGTTTGGCGCTGTGTCATCACCGTTTTGTGCAAGCTTTGCTTTAAAAAAGGTGGGTAATCTTTTCGGACACGAGTATCCTCTGGATGTTTCTCAAGCGTTTCTGAATAGTGTTTACGTAGACGATTTTCTGAAATCCCTTATGGACGAGAATGAAGCCGTTTCTCTGATTAAAGGCTTGTGTAGTTTATTGAGTTAAGGCGGTTTTAAGCTAACAAAGTGGCTGAGCAACAGTCGAGAGGTTTTAGATCGGATTCCTGACAATTTGAGAAGTACTTCAGTAAAAAATATGGAAATCGAGGGCTTGCCGACACAGCGAACTTTAGGTTTATCATGGACAATAGAGCAGGATGTGTTTGCGTTTCAATTTAAGGCGCCAGAACCTCCACCTACTCGGAGGGTGTTATTGTCTCAGCTGTCCTCCATATTTGACCCGTTAGGGTGGATAGGACCTTATATTTTCCCGTTGAAAATCTTATTCCAGAAGTTGCGTAAACAAGCCATAGGGTGGGATCAACCTTTGGTCCCAGCGGTGATTAAAGAATGGCGGCAGTCTATGGAGGTTCTAAGTGAAATTCGTCGAGTTCAAATACCTAGATGGTATGCTCGCGCCGTAGAGGGGACTGAAGGTAAGGTTGAGTTGCATACCTTTTGCGATGCGTCTGAACTTGGATACGGAGCAGCATGCTATTTACGCTTTGTGTAGAATCGTAATCCGTTTTTGTACGTACTGGTAACTGCCAAGTCTCGGGTCGCTCCATTACGGACCGTAAGCATACCGCGATTGGAGCTGTATGCTGCCGTGCTTGCGGTTGAATTAGCACAAATAGTTAAGAAGGAATGTGAGATGACATTTGTTGATAAAATTTACTGGACTGATAGTCTTGCGCTATCTGAGGAATGAGAAAAGTCAATTTTCAACGTTCGTGTCCAACAGAATTTCAAAGATCAAGGGTTGGACGGTAGTTGATCAATGGAAGCACATCAGCGGAAAGGATAATCCTGCGGATCTCGCATCCCGAGGAATGAGAACCGGAGACAGATAAAAGCAGTTATGGTTTGAAGGCCCAGCCCTTTTACGTGAACCGGGAGGAATGTTACTGAACTATGGCGAATGTGCATCGGTTTCAGCTGAAGACTTGGAGTTGAAGTCCAAGGTTGTTATCAGTGCGTTCTGTCACCGTGATTGCCTGCCATATTTCAGAAGATTCTCCTGTTGACATTGATTATTTTGGTCCTTTCTTCGTAAAGCGTGGAAGGACCGTTGAAAAGCGGTATGGTTGTTTGTTTACCTGTCTAAATATAAGAGCCGTCCATCTAGAAGTTGCTCATTCCCTCATGACTGAATCGTTTATCCAAGCTTTGATACGGTTTACGGCGAGATGGGGACAACCCGAAGTCATCTTTAGTGATAACGGAAGTAACTTCAGAGGTGCACATGCAGAGTTCCAGCAATGTATTCAGGATATGTCTCATGCTAAGATCCAACACTTCCTAGTGAATCGCGAAATACGTTGGCACTTTGGACCACCTGACGCCAGTCACTGGGGAGGTGTCTGGGAAAGAATGATCTGATCCGTTAGAAAGATATTTCGGGCGATATCCCACAGCCAAAGAATGACAGATGAAAAGTTACTTACGTTCTTTGCTGAGGTGGAAAAAATTGTGAACAATCGTCCGTTAACTCCGATATCCGATGATGTTAAGGATTTGGAAGTTATCACTCCAAATAAGTTGTTATTACTTGGAAATAATGAAACAGTGATAGATCATTTGGAATTTCCGCAAGTTTGCATTCGCCTTTGGCGAAGAGTTCAGGCATCGGTTGATACCTTTTGGAAACGATGGAAGTCTGAATATTTGGCCTCCTTGCAAGAAAGACACAAATGGCAGGGAGAGGGTAGGGATTTGAAGGTGGGAGACCTGGTGCTCGTGACCACTGAAGGTGTCCAAATAAATTGCTGGCCGTTAGGAGTTGTTAATGAGGTTCTTCCTACTAAAGATGGTTTGATAAGGGAAGTCTTGGTTCGCAAAGCTCATGGGACTCTGCGACGTGATGTACGCAATTTATGTTGGTTAGAAGGTGATGACGGTTAAATGAAGAGTCCCCTTTCAATTGTGCTGATTTTTTTTGATGGTCATTCTCTGTAAGCATTTACTGTAAAGATTACTTGGTATACTTTGGCAATGACTTATGTTTTGGTAAGAGTCACTTGTGCGACCTGCCTTCGGTTATATGGCCATGCACCTTTAGGAACAGCATCGGTTCGTTGACAGATGAAACAGATGTCGCCCTGACAGTCAGTTCCCTTGTTATCTGTTCATGGCCCGTTTAGTGGAATGATTGAGTATTCAACAAAAAACATTGCAGGAATCTTGTGGATGATGACCGAGAATCAGCCACATTTCAAAAGGAAAACATAACATTGGGCTAGACCGGGGCACATACCCGATCTTTTTAGATCAAGCCCATATAAATGTTGGTCCACAATGATAAATAATCAAACTCGTAACCAAGTAATCAACTTTCTCTTTGGCCGTTAGAACCGGGTTTCCTGGGGCTGGCGAGAAAAGAGGCATCTGGTAGATGAAAGTATTTACATCAAGGAAGCGCTGGTCAGGTGCTAATTATGGTTTCACACGAGTTAACTCTTATCAACCATATTGAAATTTCTCTTTACAGATATTTATTCGCCATGTGTTCTTATGTTAGATGTGATTTAAATTGTTTAAAAACAACAAAAAATTGTACAACGGATGTTTAATTAAGTTAAAGCCGAATGGCTTTCCGGAGAGGGGTATTACGGCGGCTGG